CACCACTGACCTATATTTTCAGTCCCTAAAAACCTCAGTGTGAGGGTGTACACATGAAATCCCAGCAACTGGGAGACTGAGACAGGCAGATAACTTGGGGTCCCAAAACAGCTTAGGTTACAGAGTGAGATCCTGTGTCAAAATAACAGAAGTAAATCATCCTTAGTTAGCTGGACATGATGATGCACACTTAAAATCCTATCACTCAGGAGGCTTGAGATAGGGCTGTAGCCTGAGCCACATAATGAGTTCCAAGCCAGCTGAGCTGATAGAAAATGTCTTTATAACTGTCTAGGGGACTACCCCCAGGCCATGAAGCACTATACAGAAGCCATTAAACGGAACCCAAGAGATGCCAAACTGTACAGTAACCGAGCTGCCTGCTACACCAAGCTCCTGGAATTTCAACTGGCGCTCAAGGTGAGGCCTGGGGAGTTCTGCTGGGGTGGAGGGGTTACTTACAGTGAGACCTGGAGTTACTGTAAGGCTTTGCAGGGGCCAGACCTCTCCTTTCTGTCCTCTCCTTAGCAGGTTAACGTTCTTATTAAGATTCTAGGTTGACAGTATGTGGTGCTTATAGAAAATTGGAGGCCTGTGTCTGCCTGACTCCAGCCCTTAAAAATCAGTGGTTGAGCTCAGTGGTGGTGGCACATGCCTTTAATTCTAGCATTTGGGAGGCAGAGGTAGGCAGATCTCTTGAGTTCAAGTCCAGTCTGGTCTACAGAGCTAGTTCCAGGACTGTGGCTCCTCTGCCTTCCCTGAATCCCCTGGTGCTTTTTCCTCCCCAGTCTTAATGTTTCTTCCTTTCCTGTCTTCCCCCACTTTTTTTTCTTTAATGTGTGTGAGTGTTTTGCCTCACAAAAGTATATGTATGTATGTGTACCAGATATGTGCCTGGTATCCTCAGAGGTCAGAAGAAGGCATTGGATCCCCCTAGAATAGGAAATATGGACAGCTCCAAGTTACCAGGTGGGTGCTGGGAGCTAACTCAGGTCCTTGAAGAATAGCAGCTACTTTTCCATCTCTACAGCCCCCCCTCCCCTTTTTTTTATTTTATTTATTCGTTTTTGGAGACAGGGTTTCTCTGCATAATATTCCTGGCTGTCCTGGAACTCACTTTGTAAACCAGGCTGGCCTTGAACCCAGTGAGATCTGCCTTCCAAGTACTTGGATTAAAGGCGTGGACCACCACCACCCTGCTGTTTTTAATATTCTCTTTTTTTAGTTCATGCTGACTTTAAACTCATCATTCTTGTCCTCAGCCTCTTTTTTTTTTTTAAGATTTTATTTATTATGTATACAGTGTTCTGTCTGCACATATCCCTGCAAGCCAGAAGAGGGCACCAGATCTCATTACAGAGATTGAACTCAGGACCTTTGGAAGAACAAGCAGTGCTCTTAACCTCTGAGCCATCTCTCCAGCCCCGTCCTCAGCCTCTTGAGTGCTGGTGTTTATGCCAGTAGCTACCATACCTTTTAGCAAGCTTTGTTGTCAGCCACCAGCTTGCAAATAATAACATAGAGACTTCTTGTTAGTTATGAAAGCTTAGCCGTAGGTTAAGCTTGTGCCACTAGCTCTGATAACTTAAAATAGCCCATTTATATTAATCCACGTTTTGCCTCATGGATTTTTACCTTTCTTTCCTTCTGTATGTCCAGCTCCCTTCATGTCTTGTTGGCATCTGATGCGTGCCTAGATTCATCTCCTCCTTCCTTTCTCTCTGCCTGGAAGTCATGCCTATACCTCTTGCCTAGCTGTTGGCTGTTGAGCTCTGTATTGCACCAATCACAGCAATACATCTTCACACGGTGTACACACATCCCACAACAAGAGCTGGCCTGTCTGTGAGTGCTTGTGCTTGAAGGCCAGTGACGACCTCAGAAGTTTTTCCTCAGGAGCTGCAGGCAGGGTGTGTGTCTTGAGGTTTGGCTGCTGCCATTGAGCCCCAGCAGTCGCTTGTCTGCTTCCCCAGCACTGAGATTACAAGTGTTCATTGCCAGGAGAGTGAATGCAGTCCTTCATCCTTGCCATCCCTGACTCGCAAGCTCATCAGCTCCTGAGCTGTTTTTGTTTTGTGAAAGGGTCTCACTAGAATAAGCCCAGGCTGACTTCTAATTTGAAGTCCTCCTGCCTTGCCTCTCAACTTAGAGTTTTGGTTTTGATACCACTATCTTTGGGGAATCGCCTGAAAATGACACCACTCTAGTTAGGGTTGCAAGGGTGCTGTCCAAACCTGAGTGGCTTGTGAGACAATGGCAGCCCTAGGAGGCTTTGAGATAGTCTCATGAACTCGGGCTGGTCTGGAACTCACTCACCGAGATGATTTATTTCAGTTTCTGCTTGTCCAAAGTATGTAAGGCTTTTTGAACATAAGTCTGAAGGCAGCCAGTGTCATTTGTGTGTTTGCTCTCCAACAGAAGTGTCCTACCGTTGGTATTGCCATAGCACAGACTTGAGTCCAGTGCTCAGCATTGGGATGGTGACCTGGAGCTTGCTTTCCTAGTCCTCTCACCCAGCTTTCTCCTTTCTTGTTTAACTTGCTCTCTAGGAACCCAGGGGTCTGGACTTGGCAGGAGCAGCAGAGTCAAAGCCAAGACCTCTGACTCCTTAGGGCACAGTAGCTGGCTACTGAGCACCCTGGAGGGAAAAGAGCCTAATTACTTTCCTTCTTCCTTCCTTCCTTCCTAGGACTGTGAGGAGTGCATCCAGCTGGAGCCAGCCTTCAGTAAGTGCCCTGATTGCCCCCAGAGATCAAGGTTAAGGATTTGGGGTGTGTAGCAGAAGGGGGAGGGGGAGCCCACAGCCTGGAGCTATTGAATTGGTACCTCCTGTTTGTAGTCAAGGGTTACACACGGAAAGCAGCTGCCCTGGAAGCCATGAAGGACTATACAAAAGCCATGGATGTGTACCAGAAGGCGCTAGACCTGGACTCGAGCTGTAAGG